TTCACTTCAACATCTGTCACAAAACTCCAGTCAAAAACAGTATTTCATTTGTAAAATTGCAGCACGTTGTTTTTTTTCGGCAGTTTTGTAGAAAATCAGGATTTGAGTAAAACAATTAAACCAGTGACGTGCGGTGGAGTTCATGGCCGGTGAGGCACTGACTTCTCTGGAGTCAGATATACATACATACAATGTAATAACTTGAAGATACATACTTCAAGTTATTACTCATGGCCTACAAGCTGTGTACTTTGTATGGTTTTAATTGTCCTACAAAGAACGTCTCTTTTATAGAAATGCATAGAGCACCCTTCTTGTGTCTAAGGAATTCATATTTACTGTAAACAAATTAAAGTATAGAGATGAGTGCAGCACAGATTTAATTTTGACCTTATGTCGTTGCCAGACTCACTATTTTCTTGTGTTTCTGTGCAATGACAATATAGTTATTTTTCAAACTTTAAATCCTGGTGCTTTAATCAAAGGTTGTCCATCTTTTTTTCAACTTACTTTCAACTTGCGTTTAAAAAACAAAAACTTAAAACCGCTAAGGTTTAGTCTCCGTTGTTCATCGATTTTTTTTCTACTTACTTTCAACTTGTGTTTAAAAAACAAAAACTAACCATTTATAGTCCATGGTTGTATCTCTTGGTTTTCCTTCACCTTAGCATTGTGGACGCTAAGGTTTAGTCTCCGTTGTTCATCCACAGCCAAATCGGAGTAATGGCGGTTTCTTACAGCCACACAGCCAGTCTTGTTGTTTGTACCAGTACATTTGAAAAGAACGACACTTCTGCCCCGTACTTTGAAGCTAACCTTTTCGCTCCGGCGTTGGTCCTCCATCACTAATCATCTTCTGTTTGGACCAGAAGTCCAGTTTTGATATACGTCTTGAAATACAATCCATAGTCAATCGGATCAGGCAGAGCATAAAAAGCGCTGTTCTTGTCCTACTACTGGCTCTAGCTTGGCGCCAACTTTCAGTTCACGTACGACCCCTTGAGGGTAGGCAGAGTACTGTTTGACTCCCCTGCTGACTTTTCTCTGCACTTCTCTCCGCTGCCTCACCCGGGATTTCTGCCCTGTATTTGAGTCATACTAAAAATGCATCTTTAACACAGATCAGTGGAAATGATTAATATTTATTTTTTGTCATGATGGCTTCCCTGACCTCACGTCACTGAATTAAACAATAAAAACAATTTAAAATAATTTAAAAATAGTTGTATATAAGTTGAAAACTCAGTTAAATGGTAAGAACTCAAAACCCAAGAATTGAATTACACGGTTAAAACTTCAGAGTAGAAATGGAATCGAATGGAAACATGAGGGTAAAAATGTAGCTTTTCTCTTGGTTGAGCTGCTTCCAGTTGCGGATACTTAAGTTCCACTGATCTTATCCAATCATATTTCAGCTTCATATGTTGCCAGGGTGAAAGAAATCTGCCTTAAGGCCTTCAGGTGCTGGAAACCTAATATGAATGGCAATGAAATTGTTTCTTTCTTTGACAAGTTTTGGGTTGGCAACACTAGGGTATTCTACAGCTTCTATAGCTAGTGTAGTTTACTTCAGCAATTTGAGTAATTTGATTGGAGGGTCAGAAAATCCAATCAAATCACTAAGTGGTCACAGAACTAGATGCATTTGTTCAAATTGAGCAAACTGTATCCAGCGACTTGCACACACACAAAATAAGTTTTCTCAGTGTCCACTGCTCTGTGGAGCATTGGTAACCTAAAGCAAATTAAAACTTGTGCCATAAAAACAGCGCAGAACCATTAGCATAACTGGAGATAGGACTTGAAAGGACTTGTTGATGGCAGTGCACCACACAGATAATCTTTACTACAGAGTCATTGAACTCATCTTGAGGAAAGGGAGGAGGATGGATGTTGTGATCAAATCATCAAGTCTTGGTGAGTTAAATGTATTTAGTCTTTTTTTTTAATAATATTGTAATGATTATTTGAACATTTAAGTCCAATGTTATTATTGATGTACATTATGTCACTGCCGCAGTTGAATTATGTTTTAGCTACCTCAGTAATCCAAGATATAACGACTCATTATACTACATTTCTGCATAATATTAATGGTTTCTATAGACATAATTACATTATTAAGATGTGTATTTGTTCAAGCAGCACTCCACAGACAGACTGAGAAATGCACGTTACACCACTGGTCTGATTTCACTATATCACAGTGATTTAAAAAAAAAAAAAAAAATTTTCAGGTGCTTTAGGTATGATGATGATTTAATGATTATATTAATTGTAATTTATTCATTTACTCTAACATACAGAAAGTAGCAAATATTACTAATATAACATTTTTAAAAAGTTGTTTTTTGTGTCATGTGACTCTCCTGCACTGCACAGGTTATTGATGTCGATCATGTCATACATTCTAATCAGTCATCATTGTTGCCATTTATTATTTGAAATGAAGTAACGTATAACACTCTTCCCTGTTTTGGTTTTTTTTTTTTTACTGAGCTGAAGGTTAGTACTGCCACCTTGTGGTCCTCAGAGCTAGACACAGAGTCACATATGGTGTTTTGTTTTGTTTTGTCTTTTGTTTGTTTGTTTGTTTTGGTTTAGCACTCTACGTAAACATATCGCATTCCCTAAATCCTACAAATATAATCCTTGCCTTAACTCTAATGTGACTTTAATTTTGATCCAAACATGAAAAATACCATAATAATACCTTAAACTTAAATTATTTCCATAGGCAGCCTTTTTTTTTTTTTTGTCAGACCAAGTATTGTCTTGACACAGGCTAATCAGTGCTGTCACAAAAATTACAAAATTAATATAAAGTTTAGGTCAACTGTATCAATTCTAAAAGATGAAGAAAGTTTTTTTTTTTAAATAACCTCCTCCCACCCCCATTATGACTAACCTTGTACATTTCCTTTTGTACGTTCAGCTACTTCTTTACCTTTACTTCATTCACACTCCATCACTCTGGCTCAGCTGTGGGGTTAGAATAAAAGAGAGAAGGAGGGGGAAAAAAAACACAGTCTGAAATAATAGCTTAAACTGAAGTATGACTTTAATACTTCAATAGAAATAACCTGGTTTGAACATTTTGAAAGGAGTAGCAGCCGTGTGGCCCTTCAGGCTACCCTGTAGTGTGAGAGTGAGAGTATATGAGCTGTCACTTCAGATTAGAGAACAGCCCGGCGCTGCCTTTGACTGAGAGGCTACAGGCTAATAGGGAGGTTGGGGCGAAATTACACCACCTACAAATCACGCGTGAATGGTGAGAACGCCAGCAGTCACATATGTCATTCTCAGCTTAGGCTTGTTTTACAATTTTACACCAATTGGACCTGAATTACATGGTCTGTGTGAGTTATAACCAGACGACTGTACAGCGTGTGTGTATGCCGGTGTGTGTGCAAGAGGAAGAGAGAGAGAGAGAGAGAGAGCGACAGGGGTTTTAAAATATCAGTACAAAACACATTAGTTCACATCAAAAGAGGTAAATAAATAGATAAAACACTGAATTAACAAAACAAATGACCACCAAGGGCCCATGTCAGTGTGAGATTGTCCAGGTTCTGCATTTCTCTGAAATAAATAAAATTTGTTGGAATTTCTGGGAGCAAAAAAAAAAAAAACACATATCCTTAATGGCGTCTCTAGTGAATGCCTGTGTCTGTTGCAAACACTCACATTGTAAATTTCACCATTGTGAGACAATTAATGGGGAACAATTACTGAATTAATAAATGAATTATTAAACAACAGAACAACATCAGTCCACACTGTTCTCAACCTTCCTATTCCTACTCACATGCACAGCCGTATTTGATTGGCACAGAATAAGGTGATAGGGAAGACCTCTCCTTGCTTCCTGAACAAACAGTCCAACGTTGAGAAAAGAGAGATTAGACCAAGACACTCCAAGACAAGACACCAAATTTTATGAAATAGATAGGTGTTTCCCAAAGCAGAGATACAGTATATATGGACATAAATGTGTTCACTGTAACAACCGCTGTAGGTCCGTAACCCTCTTAGAGAGTGGCGGTTCATAAAGACTCCAACATTCACTCAAGAACAGTTGAGCTGTCCATGGGCCTCGTTTATCAACTGGGCGTAAAAACAGTGCTAAATTCTGTCGTAGGAATCAAATTTAAAATGTGTGTAAGTACAAAAACAATTACGTACTCCTCCAGTGTGCAGACACAGTATATACACAGACTAGTACATAATGATAAATCCCACATGTTCATAACTACTACTTATTTCAGACCTTTTAATAAATACATTTATTTATTGTTGTGTCACATCCATAATATATGATCATACGGTACAAATCTTTTTCAGGGCAATCTTTTCTTTCGTTTCTAAATTGTCTTTATTTTGAAAGGAAATTTTAGAAAAACTTTAAGGCTTTATTTACAGCATACAGTGTTATAATAGGAGTTGACAAGAATGGACAGGATCAGGAATGAGGTCATTAGAGGGACAACACAGACAGGAAGGTTTGGAGAAAAAAGCTAGAGAAGCCAGATTGAGATGGTTTGGACATGGAGGGACAGTGAATACGTTGGTACAAAGAGGAAGGCCAAAGAGGAGATTTATGGATGCAGTGAGGAAGGACATACAGATAGTTGGAGTCAGAGTAGAAGATGCAGAGGACAGCGTGAAATGGCTCACTGATTCGCTGCAGCAACCCCTGAAAAAAGGAACAAAGCCAAAAGGAAAAAAAGAAGAGTGTAATAATAGGAGTAACAATATAATTATGTTGTGTGGAGTTAAATTTTAAAACTCAAAAACGTTAAATTAACACCTTTAAAAGTTTTGGTATATAAACCAAAACTTATATATATAAGTGAAAAAGAAGAAAGAAGAAAAGTTTTGGCATTTAGTAAATTTGTTGTATCTTTACTATGATTATTATTTAGTTGTATCTGAATCATTTGAACAGGCGCAACGCTACCCGGGAAAGCAGCACCATAGCTAGTCACCTGACCTACACCGCGGATCACGTGACTGATATTCCAGTCTCGCCATTTTGCAATGTGTGTGTGAGGGACAGAGAGTAAAGTGGGAACAGTTTCATGGCTAACGAATAAAAAGGAACAGCTCAATTCTTCATGTTCTGTGGCCAAAAAGCGAAGAACTCGTTTCCGGTTCGGTGAGTATAATTTTATAAACACTTTGAAAGACGTCACTTTATCACCGGAAGTTGCTGAAACGTCCTTGTGTGTTAGTGTTAGCTCTGTGTGTGGCCTCACACTCGTGGGTGAGTTTGTTGCTAAGCCACTATACTCTCAGCTCAATTTGAATATCTCTACTGAATTTATTTATAATAATTTTTTAGTATGCAATATGAACGTGTACTGAGAATGACGTCACCACCGCCCGGCATTATTGCGAGCTTTGGCCAGAAGATTTCTGTGTTTTACCGACAGAGAGACTTAATTCTTTAAGCAAATTAAGTCATGTATTTTAGTTTTCTATCGAAATATTTGAAACTAAAGCTAATGTCTGTTGTCTCGTTGGGAAAGCACACAAACAGTACTGAAAAACTAATGGTTTATGTCTAACTTAAAGATTCTAAAGGGACCAAATAAAATCATTATAGTGTCACAGCACCATGCCTACGTATCTGTCTCAGTCTCACCCTAATGTTGCCTCAGTGCTCAAACTCTCAACACCCAGGTCGCGGCAACCCCAGTGGGGGAATATTTTTAGATACTGACGTAACAGCTGCTCCGGGTAAAGTCTGTACTCCACCATGCTGCTGTTGAAGTTTTTTGATAAAATATAACTTGTTTTTGCATAGGGTTGAGCATTTACTGTCACTTTTCAGTATAGAAATACCAAATGGTCATGTCAGAAAGACACTGATTTAAAACAAAACAAATAAGTAGTAAACAAACAAAAGATAAAATATAACTTATTTTTGCATAGGGTTTAGCATTTACTGTCACTTTTCAGTAGAGAAATACCTAAATGGTCATGTCAGAAAGATACTGATTTAAAACAAATAAGTAGTAAACAAACAAAAAACAAACTAAAGTTTGCACAGCGGAACGTTGGCCAAACAACATTATCTTAAACTGCTTTTTCTGTCCTGTTTGTGTGTGTGTTTGTGTAATATTGAAATGTTGCCAGCAGAAGCAGAAGTGTAAAAAAGAGGAAGGTTGTTTGTGGTCAGGGGAAAGGGTTAGATCCATTCATCTAAAGGAATATTTCACTACACTTCCCCTTATAGTTTGTAAACAGAAGCATGTGGTATATGTGTTTGTTTACGCAGATAACACAGATAAAAGGGTCTTTCCTTCTTTTTCCTGAAAAAAAAAATCATTATTGTATGATAACGATAATGGTATTGTACCATATTTCTTTGTTATGTTGTAAATAGTTTGGATTCACTCCAGTATCTTCTAAAATAAAAAAGTACTAGTGTACACAGTGGAAAATTGACTTTTCCCATGCTTAAAACACATGTTTTTTTTAATGAAAGTATCTAAATGATTACCGGAATATAATTCCTTGTTTTAAAAGCTACTGTTACAGAAGAACTTTTTCACATTCACCTTTATCCTTGTTATTAGGGGCAGAATGTTTACACCTAATCACCCCATCTGATATTTGTTTTCCTCTATCCTTGTTATTAGGGGTAGAATGTTTACACCTACTCACCCCATCTGATATTTGTTTTCCTCTTTCTAATGTCTGACAGGTCATGGAGGAGATGAGCAATGGAGCTCCGCTCCCCAAGAACTCCTCCTGCTCCCCTCTGTCGGATGCTTCCTCTGAAATTACAACCGAGATTCTTGAGCAACACAAGCAGGCGGCCAATTCTCTGATTCAGGTCATTGAGAAACTGAGCAGAATTGTGGAACATGGTCCTCAGCACTGCTGCAGTGTGACTGCAGAAAAAAGAACATTCCACCAAGCCTCCTCACTCTCCGTCGAAGGTATAGAAAGAGAAGGTGAAGTGAAGGTTTGGACGAGACGAGAAAGCTTTCCAAATAAAAAGATAAAAAAAGGCCAGGACAATGTTAAGGCGGATACGTCGGATGTGAGAACAGCTGAAGATGCGGTTTCTGGTGATGGTAATAATAACAATATGACATTAACAGAGAGAAGCTTATCCCAGACTGTGACCTGCTACCAGTGCAGCCTGTGTCCCTTCATCGCCCCAACCCTTTCTCAGCTGAAGGAACATTTAAAACAACACAATGAGCAGAGCAGCGATCTTATCCTAATGTGCTCTGAGTGTCACTTCACTTCCAGAGATCAGGAGCAGTTGGAGTTGCATGTCCAACAGCACTTCGACAAAGGTGTTAACCTGAAGAGAAATCACTTATCAATGGACACAAATGCGCAGAACAAGGAGGTTTCAAGAAGTTGGGATCAGGTGGACAGTCCCAAGGACATACCGCAGAAAAAGCAAAAATGGTACAGCCACGAGGAGTACGGACTGTACCGTTGTCTGATTTGCAGCTACGTGTGTAGCCAGCAGCGAATGCTGAAGACCCATGCCTGGAAACACGCCGGTCTTGTTGACTGCTCTTACCCCATCTTTGAGAATGAAGATGGTGCTCAGGCAAAGCAAGGGTCCCCTGCTGCTAAAACTAGAGAGGAAATAGTTGTCGGTCCTCCAGCTGTACAAGACAAAAGTGTACAGAAGCTTCCAGAAACTTTTAAAATCCAGCTCTGTGTACCTGAGAGCATTGGAAGTAATCTGGAGGCAGTTGCTAACTTGACTGAGAGTCAAAAAACGCACTTGACCACCGAGGAGCCCATGTTGGAGTTTCAGGTGACAACAGAGGGTGAGACTGAAGTCAAAATAGAAGGTCAACCGGATAGTACTTCCAACACTGACAGTTTGCTGTCGTCAGCTCAGAAGATTATCAATGGCAGTCCAAGCAGCTCAGGCCGAATGAATGTGATTGTAGAACGCCTTCCCACAGCTGAGGATTCAGTCATGACAACCAACCCTCTTCTACTTCACTCAAATATAAATGAGGACAGGAGTTTGCTCGGTACAAAGCAGAAGGAGGAGCATCATTGTTTAGAGGCAGTGAAGGAGGAGGAGGAGGTTGCCAACTGCAGGGTTGGAGATACTGAAGAGCAGCCTTTAGGAGTTGATATTAAACCCTCTGGTGCCTTTGGCGAAAACTCTTCCAGCGATGAAAATGTTCCTCCCATTAGTCGTAAGAGGACACTTTCAGAGTCTCTGCGGCTGCACTCACTGGCCGCTGAAGCCCTTGTAGCGATGCCGATGAGGACACCTGAGATTCACATGTCCAGCTCCAAGGCAGTTGTCAAGACGGGACAAAAGACCTCGGATGTAAGGACAACAACGGGTTATAACAACTTGGACTTTTATGGCGAGAACAAAAAAGAGCAAGAATGCTTAGGGGAGCGTGATGAGGAGGGTCCCACTACCAAAGCTGGCATCAGCCTATCACTTCTCACAGTCATCGAAAGACTCAGAGAACGTTCAGACCAGAACACCACTGATGAGGATATCCTAAAAGAACTTCAAGATAACATACAGTTCACTAAAGAAGATGTAGCCGGGGTGGTGGCAAGCAACGGAACCGGGACCTACGTCTGCACCATTCCAGGTATAAATCATGGATAACTCACATACTCGCATACAAAGTTTGCTTTACCTTACAGATCATGGATGGCATTAAAGAGAAAAAAAAATACATAAGGAAAAATAAATAGACCGGAGAGAATGTTACAATAGATGCAAATAAAATAATCTCAATCATAATCATGAAAAAAGTGAAATGTCTTCAACAATATTTTATAAATATTCATGTTTGAAGCTAGCTTCATGTGTGGTTGTTTGTTCCACTTGTGTGCAGCTTGTTTGCTTCAAGCTCTACTCAGTTTATATTCCATTAAAACTCATTTTATGTATTTTGGCTTTAAGCCATAAAGTGATGGTAATAATAGAATTTTTGCTTTCATTTGACTTTTATTAAAGGAATTGCTACATGTTAATTTTAGTGATTTTTTATATGATTCTTCCCAGTCTTCTTGCTAACTTTAATTATTTTCTAGGTTTACAGATTTTGTGGTACATGTTTTAGTCTTGACTTTTTAATGTCATTTCATTTCAGTTCTTTTTAGGTTTTTCATATATTTTAAAAATATCATGGTTAAGCTTTTGTTGTTTTTCCATGGTTTATTCCAGGAATGGACGGTCTTGTTTCCTCCTGTGACAACTCACTAGTGGACTACATCCCCGACAGTGAAAAGCCGTACCGTTGTCGTCTGTGTCGCTACAGCAGTAACAATAAAGGTTACATCAAACACCACCTGCGTGTCCACAAGCAGCGGCAGCCGTATCAGTGTCCGATCTGCGAACACATTGCCTCTGACAGCCTAGACCTGGAGAGACACATGATCCACCACTGCAAAACCAGAACCTATCAGTGCAAAAAGTGCCCTGATGCCTTCCACTACAAGGTTGGTTTTAAAGTTACTGTTCAAGTTAAATTGTCAAATACTAGCCCATAATAGTGTATGTCTTGACTGAATTCCATTTCTATGGTGTGATAAGTCAGCACTTACATACTCTACATCAGTACCTATGTCACTCACTTATCCTAACACTGTGGTAACTCCATAATCTAGGACAAAAAAAAAACCACTTGGGAACCATAAAGAAGGCCAATACATTTCCAAAAAAAAAAAAAAAACCACAACACGAAAGAAAGCGAATTTAGCACAATCTAATGTATGGCATACAATCGGCCTGTGTAAATAAAGCCGCTCGTATAGCACCAAGTGATGACCTATTCACCTGCTCTACTCGCAAATAACTAGCTTCTGTGCAAAATCTATTTTAACTCTGTACGTCACAATGACAGAACAAGACCTTTTTATTAAATCTAAGGGAGATGGTGACGTAACCATAGAACAACGTAGGTCGAGCATGTCGTAAATTGAGGACCTCTTGTATAGTCTAGTTAATAAGGGACATTTTTTTAAAAGATAACTGGTAGCAAAAAGTAAAAAGTAAGTTATCCAATGTAGTTTGGTTGACACGGTAGCAAAACAATACCCAAAAATAACAGGCTGTAACATAACATAATTTTTGAAAAGTTGAAAAAGAAACACTGGTTACTTCTTAAATGCGTTGTTAACCAGGAAAGTACCCAAAAGAAAACACTATGGATTTTTTTTTTCTTGTTCTCTAGAGTCAGTTGAAGAACCATGAACGTGAGCAGCACAGCAGCAGCAGCAGCAAAGCAGCAGCCCTTACGGCTGTCACTGAAGCTGCAGTCAGTGCAGAGGAAGGCCTTCCTGAACTAGACCAAGGTAAGAAACAATAGTTGTTTTACATCCAGATTGATTGTTTGTGATGTTGATATTATTACGTTGTGCTGACAGACGGTGAGAAGCAGAAGATTTACAAGTGTGACGTGTGCGACTACACCAGCTCCACCTACATCGGCGTGAGGAACCACCGGAGAATACACAACTCTGACAAACCGTACAGGTCTGTTTTTTGAAACAGTTAAACTTTCTAGAACTGGTCCATTAATATGCTTTTACTAGGCATAAGTCAATCCGATACTCAGGATCACTATCGGTCTGATATTGGTAAAAATTTCCGCATTAAACATTGAAAAAAAAAACAACTGCAGCCCAACCGATCCGATAACTTAGCCCAAATGCTGAACTTAACTTTGCGCTACATGCTGTAAACAGGTTGCCACAGCAACAGCAGGCCACAGCATGCTGGAGGAGAAAAGAAGGTTTCAGATTGAAATCCATAACAGTATGTACCTGCAGTATCGTTATCGGACATGAAAAAGTTCTGTTGAGCCATCCCTGGATTTAACGTAGCTTTCCCTCATAACACCAAAATGTGTAGAGGAAATTACTGATTTTAGCTGTCTGTGGTCAGTTTGTATCATTGAGGTCAAGCTGGACGGTAAGGATAATGAAGTCATGAAATAACACATTTGAAATGGATGCAGCCAAACAATGCTGAGAGCACATTCAAGCATCAGTGGTGTGCGGGCCAACTTATTATTATGTTTATTTTGTTTATTTTTTTGTAATTTTATTTCATCATAATCTGCCTGTCCCTCTGTGAGCTCTGTGAGTGATGGTCTTTGTTCTAGGATAGTGAGTTATTTCTCTACTTTAGAGCTTTTATTCAATTAAGGAAGGATATTTGTTTATAACAGTAAGTCTGTAATTGTATTACATATCTCATCTTAAGCCTTTTATCTTTTTCTGGTGGATTTTTCATGCCCAGTCTTTAGTTCAAACAAATTCAGGAGTCCATGAAGGTGCATTTCACAAGATGTGCACTAGGGAGCGGTATTTCAATACCGATCGTAGAGTAGGTTCACAAGTACTCTCAAAAAGATTGTGCCTGCTGGTAGTGCGTGTGTGTGTTTCCATACAATGCATGGTCTTTGTGTGCAGAGGAGGCTTCCCTCAGGCCAGGACACAGGAAGTGTTTGTTTGTTGTCTAAACAGTGCGTTTAGGCTACACAAACACAGACACAAACATACCTCTCCTGTGTCTCGTGTGTCCTGAAGAGCTAAAAGCATTACTTGCAGGAGTCTATAAAGAACAGATTTGGTTGCAATTTAATTTGGTTCTCTTTTCAAAGTCCTTATTGAAGCGAGGACGTTTTTATTGACGTTGATATAGTTGTCACCAGTGTGAACAGTGCCCTCTTGTGGCCAAAGATGAAATGGCATATTGTTTCTATAAAAAATACAATAATGTATTATTGGAATATACTGTAAGTCACAACACGAGCCAAAAAAAGTTACTTGCAGACCAGAAAATATGGAAGTTGTTGTTGACTTTTACCTATCACATGACTTTGAAAGCTTAGTTATTATTAGTTACACCCTAAAGGAAATTGTTCTTCACTTAACTGATTAATGGTTTACTTTAATGTTCTTTTTTGTGCTAAGTATGATAACTTTGATAAATTGTATGTATTCTTTCAATACTTTTGGTTATTTATTATTTCATGTGTCACTTATATGAAATTGTCAACATTGAAGTGTATAGTACAATTTTTTTTGTGTACAATGTCTGTTTACATCACTTTTCTTAAAATGGAAAAAAACAATCCTCACCATCTTTTTAACAATACATCCATACATCTGAGGAAAGCATCTGTAGCAGGATTGACGTGTCCGTGGCTTTTCTGTCATTGAATTTCAATTTCTAAATATAGATTTTTTTTTCTTTTGTCCATATTTGGTCCTCCAGATGCTGTAGCTGTGATTTTGCCACCACCAACATGAACAGTTTAAAGAGCCACATGCGGCGCCACCCACAGGAACACCAGGCGGTGCAGCTGCTAGAACAGTACAGGTCAGCGCAGATAGGGATGTTGGTATGGAGGGGCAATAATGAACTGGTACATACCGGGTTTTATTTTTAAATGCAGGGGATCCTCCTTTACGAAGTCCTTCACTGTTTCATGGTTATGTCGCCAGTTCCCTTAGAGTAATCAAGAAAGTCTTGTTCCATTATTCCGATGTACAGCTTTAAAACAAATTTTACAGAGGAACTAGATGGCATGCAGAGAAATGCGTTGTCACACGGCTATACGTGGAAGTTGACTTTTCTACGTTCTTCGGTTATACGCTATACATTGGATTATGCTGCAGTCACTTTTATTTTGTTTTTTTCATTTTTTATTGTTTTTGGGAACTCTTTACCCTTCATTATGGATCCTACTCCTTATGAGGTTACCACTGTGTTAGCGTAGGTGAGGTACTGATGTACATATGTATGTATATATATGTATATATATGTATATATGTATATATATATCTATACACATGTATACGTTCATATATATGAATATATATATATATGAAAATGTAGTCTTATCTAGAAAATGGGGTCAAAATAAAGCATTTGTACGGTTGTTTTTGGAATATTAAAATTTCCTAGAGTTTTCCCTATATGGAAGTCTAGTCTGAGGTTATGTGGCTACTTTTATGAGCAGTTATGACACCACCAGGCAAAGACTTGAGACAATGGCACCTAATTACGAGGTTATTTCTCAGAAGGCGCGATAGTTTTTCTGCCTCTCAGCTCTGATTGCTGATTTTCACTTGACTTCTTTCAGGTGGTGTTCACTCACTCACCAGTGCCTACAGTGTTAGAAATCCAGCATATTACACCACACACGACTTAAAAGTTTTTTTTTTTTTTTTTTTAAAGGCAACTGCAATAAAACCAAAACTATGTACCTGGTACTTTCACTGACACAATTTTACAAAGTTTTTATATGAACATGAACCAATGCCTTAAACCCTGAGTTTCTATTTTCTAGTTGCTCCCTGTGTGGATATGTGTGCAGTCATCCTCCATCACTGAAATCTCACATGTGGAAACATGCTGGGGACCAAAACTATAACTATGAGCAAGTGAACCAGGCTATCAACCAGGCCATCTCTCAGAGCAGCAGGTAAAAATTAAAAAAAAACTTTGTAACCTTAAAAAACTTTTCTTTAGCTGACACTAATGTCTAAGAGGTGACCTTGGCTGTATATTAAAGATGAGAGATTACAAAATCAGTCTAACATGAGATAATAATCATTTTTTTAATTTAAAAATGATGTCATTTGCATTCAATCTTTTTGGTGTCAGTCCTTAAGAATTTACTATTTCAAGTTACTGGCTGGGAAATAGCTGCTAATGAAGCTTTGATGTAACTTCTCCTCGAATGATCTCTTCCCTCAGAGCCCCTCAAAAATCATCCACACTTCCCGAGTTAGTGGCAGAGTGCCCCACAATGGCCAAGGGCGTGAAGGACCGGTGGAGGGCCCCAGTGGAACCAATACCAGCGTCTCCATCCATTTCCACACCACCGCCAACAGCAGACTCCATCACAGATCCAGCACACTGTCCTGATGACACTCCAGAACCCGGTGATGTCACACAGCTCCACCCTCAGTCTCAGAGACAGCCATGTGTAGACCAGGTTTCCACCTCAGGTCCCACCATGGAGTACTGCGTCCTGCTGTTCTGCTGCTGCATCTGTGGGTTTGAGTCCACATGTAAAGAACGTCTGATGGAGCACATGAAGGAGCACGAGGGCGACATCATCAGCATCATCCTAAACAAGGAACAACAACAACAGCAGCAGCAGCAGCAGCAGGAGGCAGACGTACAAAAAGTAGAGTAAAACCTATTTTATTACCCTCGAGCTGATCTTTCAGACCACACCATCTTAACATCTTGAGATGAGGTCCAATTTACCTTAAACATCCTTCTGACCTTTCCTTAGGTCTAGGTTACAAGGTCCATCATCATCAAACTTAACGTTCTACAAGAACCTCTAAGAAAGAAGTTCCAGTGAAATCTGACTTTGTTGCTATAGACAGTCCAGTAAGGAGGTCAGCAAGGCCTGGGGACCTGGTGTTAAGGTGTTGGCTATTGAGTAACCTGACCTTCTGAAAGATGGTGAATGCCAGTGACAAATGATCACATAGCAGAAGAAGCAATCTGACCTTCATACCAAAGATCCAGATTGATTTGTCGAACTTTCGTCCTCTTCAAAGGTCAACTCTACTAGGTCGTGCTTTGGAAGTTTGAATGAGACGTTTGGAATCGGTTCTCCCAAAACTCCTGCTGACATTCTTAATAATCTTCACTGTCACACTAACTAAGGACAGGCATAGAATTTGAAGCTTCTGTTAGCGTCCATACAAACAACACAACTGCTTCTCATTTAATAGCGGAGGAGGAAACATCTCTCCCCTAGTCAGCATTTCCGTGAAAAGTACTGAAAGGATCGAACCTATCTTCAGAGACATATCTCGAGACACATTTGTCACTCTCTCAGTGACAGTTCTCAGTGGAGAGTTCATACCTCACATCACAACACCATCCCTCAGCAAAAAAAAAAAACAAAACAAAAAAAAAACAACAACAGCAAACTCATTTTATCTTATGTTTAATCAATCAGAGTATTCATCTATAAGGCAGCTCTTCTTCTGTTTTGCTACTGTAATATTTAAGTTCATGTATTTATGATGCAGCTGGAGTTAGGATCCTTAATTACAAGAAGGTACATTTTGCGATGTATTCGCCAGGCAACACAGCTTCTCTATGTAATTTCATATTTAGCTACATTTTCTTAAATAAATATGTTATTTTTGTTTTGTTAAGTTTAAACGAGTAGTAATTGGTATTTGTATTATTTACACTTTAGATATCTGTAGACGTTATGGGAGTATAATTGTATAAAAGCGTAATTATTTGGATTGTTGATGAAAGATGCTGCGTTTAAAGAAAGTTCTCAGAGGAAAAGGGAAGGTAGAGGAGAGGAGACAACGAACGGAGATACATAGACAAAAAGGGAAGTGAGGTGATGGTCTGAGAGCTGGTGTGGACCATGTAAGAGAGTGGTTGTGGCATTTGTCCAGTGTTTGTCAAGAACTGTGGGATCTTGGCTAATGGTGTGAGTTTTGGTAATGGTTTCTGAATCTCCAATCTCTCAGTTGTGCTGCCAACGACAGTCGATGTTTCAAAAACATCAACTAGACGAGGTTGATCTCTTACTTTTCGTTTCTTTCACATACCAATTTCTAATTTACAACTTTTCTAACTTGGACAAAGATTTTCACCCAACATGAGCACAGTGTGTTGCATATGTATTATTTGTAGTTTGTGCAAAAAGTCCTGGACTGTTGTGGAAATTTTGCTGCAACAGCCTTGTTAACTAAGGCTTTCACTTTTCATCTAAGATTTAAATTAGAGCTGTCAAAATTAGTGCATTTATTGCATTAATTAGTAAAAAAAAATTTTTTTTTTACCAGCCTTGGGGAGCAAAGGGCATTAAGTTACTCTACATCTGACAAATGAATGATTATTTTTGATCTTAACGGCACATTCTGCTAGCCGACGTTAAGACGCACAGCAGTGACTAAAATCCACCAACTTTGCTAGCCGACGTTAAGACGCACAGCGGTGACTAAAATCCACCAACTCTATAAAGCTGTTATTTGTTTTGATATGTTCTCTTATTTGTTGTAATCTTGATTATTCATGATAAATAATAAGTCACAATTAAATTAGTAAAAAAAAAATAAAACCGCCCTGTGATTGATCAGATCTTAAAATTTGAGACAAAATTAAACAGACGGACAAATGCTTGGCCAAGTTACTGGGAAAATCAAAAGAAAATGCTGCTTTACCACCATCATAGATGTATTTTCAAGTCTAGTCAATTAAAAAATGCTACAGGTTCAGTTAGTATTAATCCAATACACCAAAAAGTATCAAAGTATCCGGAAGCACCACAAGATCTTACAAGTTCTTACACACTGAACATTCAAAAGTCAGTGGCTGCTTATATCTTCAGTATCCCAACCGTTGTTTGCTGCTTTATGATTGTGTTGGATAAATAAAAGTCAATATTTTTAGGGTGTCATAAACCGATTTTGTTTTAAACTAAAGTTAATAGAGAAACTCTGTGGGTTTATCACTGCACCCACAGTCAAGCGGCTATGCTCAGATGTGTTATCTGTGACATTGGTGTTTTATTACCTAGTTACACTAGGTAATAGAAGTCTGTTCCTGTGAACTAAAATCACTGATTTTCTCTATAAACTTTGGATTGAGGAGAATGGTTTATAAAAGTTTTAGTTAATAGTTGTTGGGTTTTTTTTTTTTTTTTCCTTTTTGGAAAACTAAAGCTGACTGTAAGACAAAACTGACATGTAAAATACAACTCAATAATAGCAACACTAGTATTCATTTAAGTGAGTTGGCTCAACCAAGTACCTGTTGAAGTGTATTTAACATTTTTTTAAATGTTGTGTGTGCCATTTAAGACAGACAAACCTCATAGGGTCAATTGTCAATTTCTTGTGCTCTGTTGTGCCTTTTTGTATTGAGATTATATTACAGTGGAAGATACAAACTGACATTTCTGATTCTGGTTCAAGGTAAAAAAAAAAAACCCAGTTGTTTTCTCAGCAGAACAAAGTGTTTTTTTTAATAAATGCCATTGGGTTTAAATTTGAATAATCTTTGGCAACTTTATAGTGTTTTGGGAGCTTAGACCAAACCAAATTGAATAGTAGTGTTCTTGTGGAAGGCTCTGAAAAATGCGACTGAAATCTTTTTTTTTTTTTTTTAATCTAATAAGATTTAGCACAATAATCACATTCAGTGTGAAAAAAACTGTTGTTTTTTTTTCCATTTGGTTAAACCCCCAAGATCATTTTCTGTGATCCATTTAAAATTGAAGTAGGTACAGTATCTAAGTCAGAGAAGATGACTAAGAATTCACCGGATCTGTGACAAAATGGGCTAACGGATGGACATTTTCCTAAGTCAGAGAAGATAACTAAGAATTCACCGGATCTGTGGCAAAATGGGCTAACGGATGGACATTTTCCTGTAGAAAAATAGTGTGAAAAGCATTTGACTTAGAGGTTCCTGAAGATAGCCACCGCTGGTGTTTGTTTTTCGCAACAAGCCACTGCTATAGCCTGATACCTCAGATGTTAGAAGTTAACTGGCATTGTAATCTAATGCTGATGTATGTTTTATATTATCAACCTCATTTAGTTTTTAGCAGCTGGCAATAGTGGTGTTTATCACTAGCAGCTAATGCAGTCAGATGCTGTCATGTCAGCGTCGAGTTTAGCTAGCTGATACCTTGAGAAATAAGTCAAACGTCAAGAGGTCCAAGTCTGTATTTTTTTGCTAATCAATGTGGTTTTTGTGCTAAACCTGAATTTAAAAAAAACGGTGGGCACATCTACCCTTTTTAAAGTTTAATACAAATACTGTATAGGACACTGAGCTTTTAGCCAATAATGCTCTTAGACTGGTGTTTAAAATGTTGGTTATATATATATATAGCAGCTGAAAATGCAGCTATATTGACTGTTTTCTAAAATGATTAAAAAATATATTTTTAATAATTGTATTATTGCAAAAATGTGTAGTTTTAGGGTGATCAGCGTGTTTTTATTAAGGGAACTGCTGGTTTTAACCTAAAAAAAAAAAAAAAAAAAAACACCAATATATTCAGCATGCCTTTTTCTCATCTTGCTGATTTTTACCTAAGACATCAGCACCGACTGTGCTTCAGGTATATTTATTTTCTAAACGCTGTCAACAGTATCATTGTTACGATTTTTGCCAGTGTTTTTGTTATTAAAGATTTAATCAAAGAAATCACCAGGTCTTTGTTATCACAACCTTCACACAAACTGCTAACACCAAGGCCTAAAATGTTGTCCAAGAACTTGACTATATCAGAATAGGTTATTCTAAAAAGCAAATTAAATCCAAAACATTGTACTACACTACTACCTTATTTTTATTTTGCCAGAGAATTTTTTTTAAGTTGATCAAATAGACATAACATAAAAACAACTCAACTTTGAGCTCAAAAGCTCAAATTTGGCTTAGAAAAATAAAAGATTGACAAAACAAAAGAAAGAAGTTAAAAATCTGTAGCATAGTTACTAAATGTGTTTAACAAACTTTAATGACTGACTTTGATTTTAAGTTTGAAGAACCACGTGAGGAGAAGCTGGACCTCACATCCAGACCTTGATATTTGTTTTTAACAAAACGTATTTTATTTAACAAAATAAAAGTTTAGTTGGTGTAAAATGATGAGCATACATGCTAGCGACACATTAACCGGGGTTAAAGATGGCTGTGCTCCAAATGCACCTGAACTCTTGTTGCTCCTGCATTTTCTAAACAAACAAGGTTGTGCTATATCTATCTAAGTATGTTTAGATTACAACCCCAGCTGATTCATGATGCAGCTTCCGGTGTTGTCCAGAGACCAAACAAATTGGAACACATTATTATTCCGTTTTGAGCTCCTTTTATTTGGGTCCCGACAAAGAAATTCTTTTTTTTTTTTTTTTTTTTAACCCATTAACATCAATAGATCCACTCACTCAACAGAAACCTGCAAAATACACCGCCAAATTGCGATAATAGGTACATTTGACTATATTATACATAAAATAGCTCGAGTACTTTTATTTTGAAGGAAGTCAGACTCCGTAAGTTTTTCCGGGGGCAAACACACATGAGCTAAAGACTCCGAGGATAGATTTTAGCGAGGGATGTTTTTTAAAAAAATGACTAAAAAGGGAGATACAATACAGATAGCAGAAGAGCCATAGAGGCGAAACGAAGGCTTCCCTCCACAGCTGTAGACGAAGGTGAGGCCTTTATCGCCTGTCTTTTAGCGAAAAATACTACAATATTACTAAAAACCTGTCCACAACAAAAGAAAGAGCCTTTACCGTAAAATACTTATAAACCAAGAAATTGTGCTAATGACAGCAACGTCCAACAGTGTCGTTTAATCGGTGCCGATGTAATTTTGGTGTTTAGAAACATTACTATTTTAAAATCTTTGTGCCGATGTAATTTTGGTGATTAGAAACATTACTATTTTAAAATCTTTAGTGTGCGAAAGAACTCCAGCTCTCCTAACAGTCGAGATGCTAATGATGGAGCAATGCACCTGCAACAGAATTGCTGCCCCCCTCCCCCCCTTAAAAAAAGAAGCATAAGAAGCATAAATTGTACCATTAGACGTAGCAATTCGGTAGCGAAAATAGTTCCCAGCTTTGCTGTTTGTTTGGTAACAACACTCTTGATGTCTTAAAATGTAAAATGATGCACCTCTAAGCGGAATTCGCAAGTGCTTCTCCAACTTAAAATTCCTTTTCAAGGAGTAACAACCTCTTAATTTAAATGATTTTTACAATCATCTAGTCTGTCATGTACAATGTTAAAATCATTACTGGATTTTTGTTTTTTGGAATAAACTGAATAATTTGAGAAAACTAGAGCCCGCCCAAACTAAAAGCTGAAAGAAACGTGCCATACCACCATTTTGTTAATTTACAGTATATTTCATTATTGACCACTTAAAGATGTTTTGGTTAAGTTCTTTTTAGATCTAATAATTAAGAAAAAACACTGTGTAATTGCAGAATTGAATTCAGTATGGCAGCACTGCGGCAGAGAAAAGGCAAAGGACCATCCAACAAGGACCATCCAACAGGTGCAGAGTTTCAGTCCCAGCAACCCAACTGTTGCAATAAGCATCATCCCGAGAGAGTGCTGCAGGGTTAGTGGTCTTTTTTTACAAACAGTTTTTTAGTATAGTATAGTCAGTAACAGTGAAATACAACGTTAGTGTATGATTATTGACAAATGGGAATGTGCCTGCAGGTGATTGGTCATGGAAAGCCATCATCTGGACATCAGTGGGCTGGTCAGTGTCAGTGGGCCTTGGTTTGCTCTGCTGTATTTACGTGGCAACTTTGCATGAGAATGACCTCTGGTTCTCCAATATCAAGGTAAGACCATTCATTATATATTCCACAAAGTATAGAAAGATGTTTTGGTTGTTTAGGACTATGTATTTTAACTTCAGATACAGCTGTTTCCCCCCCCCCCCGTTCTTTCTGTTTTATTTGTTTTTAAAGTCACCAAAATGTTTAAGGGAAACATTTTAAATTGTAGTTAACTCTCCTCAGACATGTATGGCTTAACCAGTTCCGGGGGTTGGGGGAAAACTTTTGAGGAAGCCAAGCGTCCTCACAGACAAGTGGAGTACCTCATTCCCCACACTATAAAACGCCCTCTCAAAGAGATATTTTTTAAATTGATGCTTATATTCTTAAATAAGTGAGTACGTCTGGCTTCCCTTGGTCCACGCAGGAGAATCCCACTGGTCTTAACAGATGAAAATGATCTAGCATCATTCAATGTCGGTATATTTTAGCCGCTGCTTCAAGGTCATAAATGATAGACTGCTAAAACACATGCTGTGTTTAGCAGTCTGTGAATACACTGTAATGCAGGGATGCCCTCTCTTTTTTTTTTTGTCTTGGGAGCTACTTTTCAAATGACCTAGCTGAAATGTACATAAACCGAACATTATACATGCACATATATATTTACTAGGGATGTCCGATATGAACTATTTGCCTGGTATTGCCATATGTGTTATGCCAATATTGTCCAAAAATATTGGAATTTCCAATTCCAATATCAACTGATGCTAATATTGTCCAAAAACTTTATTTCCAATATCAACTGATGCTGATATAGCGGGGCGGTGGTGGCCTGGTGCTTAAAGAAGTTTAGTGCCCCCAGCTCACTAAGGTGATGGGTTAAAGCACTGTACCTCAATTATTTTTTTTTCCATGCCACCCCTGAAATGTAATATTACTGAGCGCCTGGTAATATTTATTTATTAATCTGTATAAACCACAGCATTAAGTTGCAGCATTCTGCATACAATCCCCTGATTTTCAAAATAGATTTATGAAAAGAGTTGCAATTCTGCCATCTATTGGCTTTCACATTCACATACAGCCGTTCTTCCCCAAAGCTACTTCTAGGGCACACATCATTTGGTGAAACGCAGGCATTGTGTTAGTGGGTTTTTATTATCGGAGAAAAAAACAGTAACGATTCTGCTTCATTTTAGAATGCTGATTGATGTATCTCTTTTGAAAAACATGTAGTCAAAGATTTTTAATCCCCATGAATCACAGACCTCATCTCTACTGATGGAAAAATCTCCAGGTTTCAATGAAAGTTTAGAAAGATTCTAGGTGTATTATCATCATGTCTTTAGAGGAAATGTGGTTTTAGTTAAAATGCCAAAATGACACATCCTCTGGTCTGTCGTGCTTACAAAATATCCAGCTCAAACATCATAGTCATAGTCTTGGAGTGCAGTAGTTTGTTTTTCCACTTATTGCAAATGTTTTTTTCCCCCTGCTAAACGGACCATACAAAGTTCTAGAACACCAGGAAACATGGATCTTTTTATCTGTCTTTCTGGAGGCTCTTCAGTGCCTGTACATCAGATTTGTCTTTTTTTTTTTCTTTTACCGACCCTTTGGAGAATTAAAAGCTAGAGAGCAGACATTTACAGAGTCAAACCTTTTTAATAGTAGCTGTGTAAGAGATGAAAATGTGTAAGTTCTGTGTTTATTTTTTTCAATAAAGGGATTCAATAAGTGTTGCAGGTAAGTAAGATTAATAGTTGAGTATTTTGTATATGATGTTCATGCGTAGACAACATTTTCTAACAGGAATCAAGTCTGGAGCAATGGGTGAAATTAAATTAAAATTCATCAAAGAAAAAAGAAGTTAAACATCACAGCACAAAGCAGCTGTTCCACTGAAGCCTACATCGACATATCTTTGTGTTATTTTGTCACCCCGCTGTTTGACATCCAAATTTAGATTGACCTCATTAACACAAACTAATCACATGAGGCAGAAGAAGACCAACAACTCATGATTTCTATGATTTGTTTTTTCTATGCTTTTTTTGAAGAGTGATCTCACAACAAACCCAGCTAAATTCTATGTAAAAAAAAACCCCACAAGATTCTAAGCAACCTTCCTGAATAATTTACACCAAAACAGTGTAAAGAAAAAAACAAAACCATAAAACAGACAGAACTTTGTAATATAACAACCTGAGAATTTGTCAGCAGTAAAATGCTGCTCGCACCCAGGAGCATCATCTGTCTTATCTGTCTCCTCCAGTCATATCCAGGTCGTTTGCATCAGATCATTCTGTGATTTTGTCACAGGTAGATGAAGTGCACGCAGAGTTAATTGAGGTGACACCGTTTATGGTCGTTCGCTGCTTGGTTGTTGTTTGTTACTGGGTAAAAAGAACGGGCAGAAAAGACAGGTGCTTTCATTTATTATGAATGCAGGTCAAATTACAGGCCTGGTGGTGAACATTTCTTATAAAATGTTCCCACAGAGGATGACTCCTGGCTGACATCATCTCTCCCCTGTGCTCTCACTGTAAAGTGTTTCCATCAGGTAATGCTATCAAGTGCGTGTGTGTTTCTGTCTGTGCCCATGTGTTTCTATCTGTGTGTGCATTTGTCTGTGTCGGTGCGTGTGTGTGTGTTGCCTTATTTCCGCACAGCTGGCTCATGCTGAAAAATACTTAAAATAATGAAGTGCCATGTGTGGATCCACTGCAGCATATTCAGACTACTGATCTGCAACAAATGTTAAAAACTCAACATGAATACAAACCTAATTTCCAAAAACTGATACTGATTTTAGAATTTAAGTTGAAATTGTTTGGCTCAGCAAATGTAAATTTTGCTAAAAACATTTTTGTTTACATTTGAGGCATATGTGGGCTGACGTTTAGCTATTTCATAGGTATGTGTTACTACACTAGTTTTCCTGTAATTTTGGCTATTTGGCTATTCTTTTAGCTATTTCAGAAATAACTATTCATTGGGAGTGTAACGGTATGGAAAACCCATGGTTGTTTTATCATTAGTACCACTGGATTCATGGCTATAACTGTGTACTAAACCTCATTAAAATGGCACTGCAGTTGCAGGATTTAATAATAAATAAATAATAAAATAATAATTGTCAAATGTCTAGCAGAGAAATAAAATCAACTGATAGTCACACAGAAAGTCAGAACAGAATAGCCCACCTATTATTATTACTTGAGGAACTCACAGAACTGCCCCTTATCTGGCACACTACTCTCCTTCTCCTGCGCTGTGAGCTTCGCTGTCTCCAAGCGTGTTCTCCATGTCCATCGCAGCCTGGATCATTTGATTGATCACTGATCTTTATAATGTGGATCAAGTACAGGGACGAGACGAGTACAGGGGATCTGAATATATCTCAGTGAATTGTGTGCTGACAGACTCTATGAGTGTACTTTTCGCCCCCTCTTGAAATTTCAGCATTACACGTTTTGCAAATCACTATCCGTGGGTCTTTCTCAGATTTATTGAAATACGTCCACACCGCAGAAATGTTGGCTTTCAGACAAGCCCACGCTGGCTGCGGTTTTTGCTTGCTTCATCATCAGTTCCTGTTTCGTCCGTGTTGTTTCGGTGATAAAAATCTTTCTGCCGAAAACTGAACATTTCTGGTGGCCGAAAATTCAGTGCATCCCTAATGTAAACCCTTTTCTCTATTGAGCAAAAGAAAATGGAGTAACACTTTAGGAGGAAACAGTTTCTACTGCTTGGAGAGACACATCGCCTCAATTCACCATATGAGGCTCATCTGTGCTAATGGCTAATTAATGTAAAATTGCTGGAAGCAAATGAATGACTCAAGTGAGCAGTGATTAGGTCACATCACAACTGGGTTCCAAAACCGTGGTTCCCCTTGGAACATGGTAACACACAATTCGTTTGGTTCATGCTACGTTTTTGTTTACTTCTTAATCTTGTCAGGGGTGTTTGGTCTTACTAGCAGAAGAAAGATTGAATCTGTTCAAAAATGTGCAATTGATTGATTTAACGACAATCAGAATCATTTGTACTGCTCCAAAAATGTTTATGTTTAACATAGTTACTGTAGTCATGCCTGCTGAAAAAGAGGGAAAAACATGTCTGTGTTCTGGGCCCACGGTAAAATGGGTCCCAGAATTTGTGCCTCAGTAAATTATGGAAAACGAGAGATCTGGGCGTGGGATGCACATCTAAGATTATCTCGTCCCGGCCAAGACTGTCAGTTGGCCTGACTGCAGTGACGAGGCTTCACGATAGTTGCTAGAATAACTGGAGGAGAAGCTTGAGCCTGGCTTGATTATTTTCCTGATAATCTAATGTTCATTGCAATGTCACAGTGTGTGATTACATCACCGCATAAAAGCTGCTGTTTCAATTTAATTAAATGAAGACACAACCAAAGTCTGGACCCAGGAGTTCACACATCTCTCGCATATTTACGACAGGTCTGTGATACCTGCAAATTAAATCTTATTAAATTAAGATATTCGCAGTTTGTGTCAAGCAACATTTAGGGAAGCACATGAGCCAAAGAGGGTGCTTCACCGAGAAAGAGAGATGAAGTGCGAATAGAATAAAATAAAGGGCAAGAATATCCCAGGAAATATGTACATGTTAATTAGGATGGAAAGAAAGAACAGAAAAGAACTGTGGTTTCTAAAGAAAGACAAGGTTTTCACAGAGAACAAGCATTAGTGTTGAAGTCAGATTTCTTGACCTAAAAAAAAAATCGAGCTGCCTTTCTTTATTTTCCTTTTGTTCCTGGAAAATCCCTTGCCAGCCTGTTGTCACCCCTGTTAGCTTCTGCTGCCGACTGCTCAGTCGGACATCTGACTTCATCTGAATGCATCAGGTGTGAAGTCATATCCACATTTGTCTCCGAGCCTGTAGCTCTTAATTTCACAAATGTGCTCACAGCTTGAAGCTGCTTCCAGACCTACAAAATCTCTGACAAATGTTCCCTGCATTTTCCGAATGACATTTCAACATGCTCTCAACACTGCTCTCCAGTTCTCCCTCCCACTCCTATCCTTTGTGTGTGTGTGTGTGTGTGTACTTTTACAGACTAGGGGTCACCAATAGTCAACTGACTTTTTTAAATCCTCTCCCTCTCTGTCTCTGCGGCTGCTGCTGTTATTTACAGCTCTGACTTCACCGTAGCTTCCTTTGCTTCTTTCCCTCAGACGTACGTGGTGATTTTTTGTGGGGGGAACATTACTTTTTCTGTCTAAGAGATGGTCCATGTTTTAGAGCATACCAAATGTGAAAAAGAGGATAAAAGAAGACGAAACGTTAAGGCCACGGCTGGGTCAGTCTGGGACCACATCAGAGAAATGGGAGTTACTTGTTAGTCTGAAAAGAAGAGAAACGGAGAGTAGGCGGCTGCTACTGGCTGTGTTGGTGAGATGAACTCATTTTCTAAGGAAATGGGCAGCCTGTTAGACTGTCTAACTCTGACCTTCGTGTAATCACGAAGGATTAGCTATTTTATCAGAGGTTTTGGTGAAAAGCCAGGTTTTCTTACTGGTAAACACAGAAGAAGACATTTGATAGACAATTTGCTGACAAAACTTAAAAAGGCTAATTTACTCGGATGAGCTGCAGAAGAGCACAAGGAGCAATGCTAACATTGGCCGCCGTAACGGATCTAGATGAATGGATTACGTTTGCTGTCTGTTGACCTGAATTCACCTCATCTAAGGAATTGGAAAGGGTGTGATCATTGGATCCGTTCCAGGATAATGGATCTTCGTAAAAGAACCAAGCAGAAAATTCAAGCTGAGGAGAGGTGCGGTGGTAACAAGTTGATGACGACCACAAGATCTTATGTCCTGCCGAAAGACAAGGGGAAGGGAGATGGTGGAGATGATGTTTCTGCGTTTGCTGAATCAAACGCTTGTTCCTGTTCCGGCATTCGATCCTGGTGTCCCTGGCGACGCTGCATCTCCATGGCAGCAGGGCTGTTACTGGCTGGTCTGCTGGGACTGGCTCAGGCCTGTTGTGTTAATGCCATCCATGAAAACCTGCTCTGGTTTTCTCAGCTCATGGTATGAAACTGTTGTTGGTTTCATTTTTGCACACTTAAATGTTTCTGATACATATTGAACATGACAATCGATTCCCAAAGATACCTTGTAGTATAATTTTTATGTAAAGTTTGTTTTCAGTCACTAGTTTGTTTAATGTTTTCATATCATTCTTTATTTAAATCATATTAGGTCATGAGCATTTATCTAGAATCCATTAGTGGAAAAAGGATCACATCACTGGCATCTTATTCACAGAACTGGTTTGCTCTCCAAAGACCAGTTTTAGATTCATGGAAACAACTGCAGATGGTCTGCAGAGGGACAATAATGCTGCAAAATCCATTTGGACTTCAACCTTTGACTGTGTTCCTGTAACTGATAGGCCAAACAAATCAAGTAGAGCATGCCGCAATCAAAGATGCAGCACAGCTGAAAAAATGATTTATGCCCAGAATATGATGAAAAATAAAAGGCTGAAGCTAGGAATGCTGCACTTTACTCCTTCATTTAACAATCAGCGGGAACAGTGATCGGACTTCAAATACACACACTCTTAACTCTCTCTTGTGCTGACACATCATTTCAGCTGGCGCCTGATAAATGGTTCCTATATTGATTTATGGTGCCTCTTTAAATGGTCTGTTCTCATATAGTGCTTTTCAAGTCTCGACGACGGACAAAGTGCTTTACACTACATGCTTTGCCATTTAACTGGGGGGGGGGGGGGGGGGGGGGGCATATAAACTACTAAGCCTGAGATCAAACTCACAACCCTTTGAGTGTGGGATAGCTGCACTATCGTATGCAGTCCAATGAATCTATCCATCCATCCATTCATTTTCATCCGCTTAGCTGTTACCGGGTCGAGGGGGCAGCAGTCTCCACGACCACTACCCAAATCACACTGCACCGTTCCTGCAGATGGTCCACTGGAAGGTACCAACAGCCCTACTCGGGATTCGATTTTACCCAGGAGATGGTTCCACACCAATGACAGAGACACTGCCTCTGGGCCAAAGTGCCACCCAGATGAATCTTTTCTGCATCATCTGTCTTTGGTTGATTTTGTTGAAGTGAACAATCTAATCATCATCATCATCATCATAGGTTGACGTGCAAACTTATATGCCAGTCCAAAAACCAAGGACTACATGCTCCTTGCTTCTGAGGCAGGCGTGCTAACCGCTACACTATGGAAGCTCAATTGGTAAAACTTAAATTCCTAGATCGTTTCAGACAAAAGAAACAAACCTGGTACAGACTTGTGGTCCTGCTTTGCATCGTCATATAAGTCAAGGTGAATATCTTGACTGATTTCTTGAACTAAGTTTTTTTTTTCAATGCATCCAAAGAAATTGTGGTCTACAAGCAGCAACACCATTGAAGTAGTACCACAGAGTTCTGAATGAGTTAACGCAGAACATATTTTTACACATAGGGAAAAGTTCCTAGCTTCTTCTGACCACATTGCTTTTTCTACTCACAGGAAGTACAGCGGGAGATTTCCTTTCGGACTGAATGTGGCCTTTACTACTCATACTACAAGCAGATGTTACAGGCCCCGTCTATACAGCAAGGTACAGATGCAGCGTTTTCCTTCCTGTCTTCAGAACCAATCATCTCTCTGGATTATTTTTCTTCTTTTATTTGCTCTCTTGTCTGTGAGCCTCCACACTTGATCTTCTGTCTCCATTTCATTCTAATCCTTATTGTCACACAAACCATCCGAACATCTTCCTCTGGATCCTTTCTCTTTTCCTCCTGCTTGGCAACTCCATTTCAAACATTCTTTGTCCAGTATCTCTCCTTTCTTTCCTCAGCACATGTCCAAATCATCTCAACCTTGTTTCCTAACTTTCCCTAACTGTTCAGACTTATTCCACCCTAATGGTCACTCCATGTGGAAATCTTCTTGTCTCATACGGATTTCCTACTGCTCAGGAAACGGATTTAATTGGGATTAATTTATGCATCCATCTGCTCTGTACTACTTATTCCTTTGCTGGGTCGCAGAGGAGCTTGGACAACCGTTCATGTTCACGTTTCTATAAACAAATACTGGGAATCAAAACAGCAAACTGATTAACTTCTGGCCGCAAAGGCCCTAATGGCCCTTATGGCCCTAATTTACTTTTAAATGCAGAGGTGGTGAGCGCAATTCATTAACAAGTCGTCAACTGCAGCTTTACATTTACTTTATCTTATTGCCATAGATCTAACTATAGATCAGGAGCAATTAAAATAAAATTAAATAAAAAAAATAAATAAACAAGTATTAATATGTATAGCCTAAATATGATGATGAATATACTGTAGTTACTGGAGAAATTGAATCATTGTGCCATACAGGTATATTTAGTCAGTACCCCAACATATAATGTGTATAGAGTATATGGTACGTTCTGTTTGCGAGAGTAAAATATGTATTTTTATGTTTTCAGTGTAGCTAGATCGCCTTTGGCTAAAATATAATAATCTTGAAAAGGCAAATTTTGATTAAATTCACAATTTTAATGACATTGATAAAAAAAGTCTGGTGTCTACTTCATCTTTTACCAGGAAAAATTAATGCTTTGCCAAATTCTACCTAGACCTAATAAATTGCAGCAATTTTGCCAGAGACATAGTCTGGACTCTAGGAAAATTACATGATTTCTTTCATGTTTACTTAAAAGAACATCTGGTCTTTTTAGAAAAAAGTAAAAGAGAGAGAGAGGTGATGTCAGTCAGTGAGTGAATAAATTGATTGTTTTTTGCTCCGTCACTTTGTGTCTGCTTTGGTTCAGGATGTTATGGGATTTAATGTTACTTTAATTATTGTTAAGATGTAATGTTTTCACCAAAACCTCTGTTTGTTTTTTTTAATTTTCCAGTCTGGACCACTAGCAATTTACCGGGGTTCAGTTTTTCATATTTTCCTAATGCATGTTAAAGATGAAAAAAAAATGTCAGAGTATGTTAATGTAAGTGTTTTGGCAACCAAAAATGTGATATTTTCTAAAACAGCACCTAACTACACAACACTCTTAAATATGAAAGCTGTAATATAGAATCTAATAATTCTTGGCAAACGCAACAATTGATTACATAACTTCCTTCCGTCCTTTCCTTCCATAAATAATAGCAGTAAATTATTATTATTTTTAAATCGCTGCAACAAATATGTTTTTGACCACTTGATGGCAGCAGAAACATTCTGAACTGTAGACAGTGTGGTTGCTTTATGTGTACGTTTGCCGAATATGTTGTCTGAAGAATATGTTAAAGATTTAGTTAAAAGATTCTAACTACCCCCATGGCCGTATAGAGTTATTGTGAGTCTTGTCAACAGGGGGCGGTAACAGTCATTTATTAATTATTGCACCTTTTTGATTCGGTTTTTGTCGACTGATTTTCTTGGGATTGTCAGCAAAGATGGGGAAAATTGTTCGAGGGAATTACTGCAAGTCCTTTAGGTGTGCTGGATGAATGTGTTGGTGAATGAGCAAATGGCTATGATTAAATGAATTATTCAAAGGCGGTCTCAAGTGGCTCAAACGTGTTGGATTATTAGTGAAGTCTGTATGAGATAAAAGACAGAGAGAATGATTGCTAGTTGACACAAACATTAACAGTAAGACAAAAAAAGAACTATAGGTTGCTCAAAGTTTCTTTGATGCCAGACAGAAATTGCTTTAACTTAAGTCTTAAAGTTCAACTGTACATATATAGATAAAATAAATGTGTATGATAGACAGCTAATTATTGCTGCTGTAACGTTTTACTCCGTTTTATCTGAATTGTGTGTGTGTGACTGTGTTTTTGTGGTTTAGATGGCAAGATTTCAGACACATTGAAGCACTCAGTTTTTTTTTACAGTTAACGAATGAACTCAAGCAGAAAGTCTGTGGGTTTATTGCTGGACAGAACATTTCAAACTGTGTAATTGTGCTCTAATAGTGCTGTACTTCGAGAAGCTTTTATGCACTCCCTCTGTGCTTATCACCGGCTCCTCATAGTTATATAATATGAAACGTGTGTGTGTGTGTGTGTCTGCATGCTCCACAGGCCTCTCAGATTTGATCAATGACAACTTGACAGAGTCCAGGAGAACCATTAATCTCCTGCAGAGAATGAACATCTACCAGGAGGTTTTTCTCAGTCTTTTCTACAGACTGCTGCCAATTCAGGTAACTTACTAATCGGCAGCTGTCAACACCTTCCAGTTTCTGTGAAATTTGTGTTTGAAACCCCTGTTCTACAGTATGTGATATGAACAGACCTGTCCAAAACGGATGTAGTTTTTTTTTTAGCATTTATTTTTATAAGATTTTGGGTTAAATATTTGACGCTTGATCTTGTATCTCATGAAATGAAACAGAATGCAGCACAGCTGATTCCATCACTAAGTTAATATTTGTGGCATTATCTAAATCTGTATGTATGGATTAACCAGGAGGCAGCAATGGAACAACAGCGTTTGTTCACTGTCAATTTTTTATTTTTATTTTAACTGCAATGTTTACAGGATGTCTCTGTGCTATTGCACTTTAGATTTAACTATTCAACAATTTGTCTGGTGTGGAATCAATCAAGTTCAGTCTAATCTGATATTATATAATGTCAAAAAAAAAGGGGGAAACGTGATTTTGCATGACTACTCAGATGGGTTGCTTGACAATGGAAAAATTCAAACACATTGTCTGTATTGTACATAATGAACAAATGTGATATTTCCCTTTTTATCACCACATTAAGCCTACTCTTTAAATAACTCAGTGTAATATCAACAAACTAACTAAATCAACAATGAAGTGTACTTCCAGAATCTCTTGAAAACCAATATATTTTTAGATTTAATATAAAATACAATGCATATTAAAAAAATAATACTAAGAAAAAAGACCAAAATATACTGTATATACTCACATGTTAGTGCAGTCACAACATACAGAGCGATCTATATATGTTTTAAAAAATATTAGCAAACTATATCAAAGAAATTCCAGTCCAGACATTCCAGTCCTGAAGACTTTTATTAAAATTATCTCTATCTGCTGCCCTTGAATTAATCTAAAAAAACAAACATGTCAGTTTTAACCTACTGCTGTGATGCATAATTGTTTGTTTTCTATAAAACGTAGATGCAGGAAATGAGTAGTGAACTTCAGTCTGTTCTGTGTCTGTCTGTGTTCAGACCTATCTGGAACCGATCTATTTCTACATCTATACCGTGTTCTCGCTCCAAGCTGTGTATGTGATTGCTCTGTACCTCACTGCGTGGCTGCTGTCTGGATCCTGGTTAGCTGGAGCACTCGCTGGAGTCTGGTACATTCTCAACAGGTGAGACACACACAGACACATACACATACTGTATATTGACATATATGTGTGCGTGGGTGTGTGTAGGAACATAAATTATTTGAAATAAATATTGAAACTCCACTGAACTAGATCAATAGACAGGTCACTGACCCCTGAAACTTTTAAACAAAAAGATTCACAAAGTTTAATCACATTTTTTTTCTACATAACAATCATGAAAAATTTAAACAGGACCATTGTAAGCACATTAACATTTCACAGAAAAACTAAACTAACAGACAGTAGAACAAACTCAAGTTTCATGCTATTTAATTCTTATCCCAAGGCAGTGAATATCAGTGCACATAACCTATTCACGTTTTTTTCACAAGTGCAGTTGTGGGAGTTTTGTGAGCCCTTTACTGTTGCACTGCATCGAAAACCAGAAGGACACTGGAGTTTTTACTCTCAGTCAGAAAATCCCAGAGTGATTACAAAAATAAATAACAAATTGCAGAGTGATTACAAAAATAAATAACAAATAAGTAATCACCAGAACACTGACAACGTCTACATTGGGTGTGGACTTATATAAAGAACTTCATCCCTCCTATGTCTTATTTTTATGCGTTTCTCATCTCACTTCTCTCCAGGATCGATACCACTCGTGTAGAGTTCACCATCTCCCTTAGAGAGAACTGGTCTTTGCCTTTTTTGGCTCTGCAGGTGGCAGCCATCACCTGTTACCTTAGGCCTCAACTCAGCATTTTACAGCAGGTAAGCTCTCTTAATCAAAACTGTGGTCTCTCCTCCTGTTCTTTTCACGCCTCGAGCCAAGAGTAATGGCAGAAGGGAGGTGAGGGGGAGCTTTGTGATTCTGACCCCCTGTGTGTGTGGGTGTTTTTTTTTTTTTTTTTTTCCCCTCCTCAGAAGGTTATGGTGTGGCTGATGTACGTGACCACTTTCTGCTTCAGTCTGACGTGGCAGTTCAACCAGTTCATCCTGCTCATTCAGGCTCTCATAATCTACACACTAGACTGTCTGGACTTCATAACCACAACACAGGTAAAATGGGGAACAGAACCAAGGGGAGGAAAAATGAAGGGTAAAAGTCAATTCGTATTTATTAATTAATTGCAGCAAATCGAGAAAAAAAAAGTCCAAATGATTTTAAAATAAAATTAAAATTGATCAAATGAAATGTTTTAATTTCATTTGAAATTCCTATGACTGTCTTTTGAAGGTTGCATACATACTGAAAATATTGACAGTTTGCATACATATTATAAATATGGATGGAAACAGTTTCCCAAAGGCAGCAGATTTTATGCTACTTTAATGTTTGATGTCTAAATTACTGTAAATGTAAGTTACATGCTTTGGTCAAAAAAAACAAAAAAAAAACAAACAAAAAAAACAGAGGATTGAGCAAAATTGGATTTTCACACACAGCTACCCTCTATGTCTTTTAAATGGTAATGAGCCACTGTTGGGGATTTGGGGTGTATTTAACCACCGTCATGGTTGAGTAATGAGAGAGTAATGGCTGCCGATAAATCGACAGATTCTGACAGGCAAATGTGTAAATGTTTTTCCTTTGTGCATGTATGCAGTGAGGTACCGTATGCCATTCTGACAGGTTTGGTTAACTGACAGGCAACCATACATTGAACTGCAGTCCAAATAAACAAACATAGTTGAGAGCCAAGAATGAACCTAAATGTTTTGCAGTGGTTAGTAGTTGAGTTTGCCATTTAACATTGCTTTAATGTTTATATACAACCTCACAAAAGCTGCAATTTCTCACTGGGTGTTAGCCACAGTTACAGATGACAACTCGCGTCGAGTGTATCAAATGTTTACATGTTATAATTGGAAATTATTCATTGCTGAGCTAAATGTGCACAAGGCTTAGATTTTGGGTGATACATAAAACAGGTCCAGCAAATAAAGCTAAATGTGCACAGGGCTTAGATGTTGGGTGATACATAAAACAGGTCCAGCAATCAAATTCAAGTAAAGAAAATACTGGAACATTGCACACGTGGGAGTGGGAGCACTGATGGAACTTTCCAGTGTGGGGGCCTGGAAAACTTCAACTACTGCTTTGTCATTTCCAAAAGGGCGCAAAACGGAACAGCTCCGTTTGAGACACACTTCCAAAATTTGGCAGATTTTTAAAAAAAATCACTTAAGTGTCAGGAGTAGGCTGACACTTCAGACACCCGAATATGTGTACTAAAACTCTGACAGAGTCACTTTTGCAGTTGTCGCCTGTAAGACAATAGCAGTGGAGGAAACTTTTTTTTAGAATACATTGTCCTCCAGCAAAAGTAACCATGTTTTCATTATATATTATATGTATGTATATATATATTAATCAATTAACAAATTCATCAACATCAATTTAAATAATGGATTAAAGGCAAAGTCCTTTTATTTAAGTGTTCTGTCAGTACAGACTGGACAGCTCCAAGACATTTATATTAGACTAAAAAAAACTAGGAGAAAAAAAAATTAACAAAAGACATATATATATGTATATATATGTATATATATACATATATATACATATATATATGTCTTTTGTTAATTTTTTTTTCTCCTAGTTTTTTTTAGTCTAATATAAATGTCTTGGAGCTGTCCAGTCTGTACTGACAGAACACTTAAATAAAAGGACTTTGCCTTTAATCCATTATTTAAATTGATGTTGATGAATTTGTTAATTGATTAACAATTGATTAAGTGTTGCCGCATTAATAGCGTTATAAATGAGCTGGTGTAAAAAGCACAGAAAGTAGCGTTTCCACCTGCAGTCTCAGCATTTCACATCTGTGTGTGTTTGTGTGTGTGTGGTGTGTGTGTGTGTGTGTGAGAAAGGTCACTACTCTGTACCTGATTCAGGTCAGCTCTCTCCTGAGTGTGTGGCTCCTCCAGTTCTGTAACTCTATGATCCTGGGATCGCTGGTACTCAGCTTCATCGTGGCTGTGCTCTTCATTAGACACTGTCAGGTCAGAGTCCAACTATTTCTGAACTAACTCTAAACAGCTTTTCCTAATGTTAACAATGACATCAAAACGGTGCTCATTTGAAGTTAAACTGTACTAAAAACATTTCTTCTTCTGTCAAAGTTTAGTGAAATATTATACAAATCAAACCCAAAAGTATCTAACGGACATGGATGGACCCTTGTGGCTAAATCAGTAACGTCTAGTTTGGGGGAGTGCATTGTTTACAGCCAGAGTTTGAGAGAAAAAAACAGTTGGGTTTCTGAAAAAATATTTGTTTAAATGCTGAATGAAACAGAATATATAAATGTTTCCACCAATCAGAGAGCTTTGCATAACAAGCTCCATCTCCAAAGTTATTTAAATAGTCATTTTATTGACCCAGGAACTCATCTGGTATCCTATTATTTGGTTTTTGCATAACAAGATTTTGATACCGGTACTATTTTTCCATACTACAGAAGCAACAGTGACACTCATATGTACATGTTTGTTTCCACAGACCGGTCTAAAGACTGGAAACCTTCTGACTCGTCTGATCAAACTGTTACTCCACAGCATCATGGTTCTTTTGCTCACCTTTACCATCAACTACTTGACCAAGGTAAAACCTCAGTTTTTTTTTTCTCCCTCTTTAGTGCTACTGCTTTTTTCCTCCTCCTTGGTTTTCATTTTCGCACCTACAATATCCACTAAGGCTGGGAATCTCTAGGTTTGATCATGGTTATAAGAACTACAATTATGAAATTATTATTAAAAAATATCATGAAAGGATTATGCAATGCATAAATCCTTACCAGTCATCTTTCTATAGAAGATGGAATGTTTTGTAGCATTAACATTTATCAATGCAAATGGAGCACAATATCCGTCATATTATTAACATATTACACAATTATGAATGATCAGAATTCAAATATATACATAAAAATTGTTTTAATCTATAAGAAAATTGTTACTGACATTATAGGTTGCAAAGTTTTATTTCTAGAGTACTGCTACCACTTGTACTACTACCTCTTCCCTGAATTATTGTTTTCTTTGCTTGCATTTTTTTAAGTAAAACTGTGTCTTGCTGAAGTGATGAGGTTTTTTTTTGTCATGTAAGAGACAGTAATCCATGATTATAATCAACAGAGCTTATTTCACAGTAAACCTGTAACATTCACGTCTGAGTGTAAAACATTCACAACATTTAAAAATAGATTTTAGCTGTAAACTAAACAGTCTTTTTCATCTATGAAATTTGTTTGGTTTGTGTTGTCATGTTACCAGTCAACCTCCTCCCAAGTCCAAAAACCACAAAAGGAAATAATCTGCATCTGTCTCCTTCAGTGAGTTAAAATGTGTAATTTAGCAGCTTTGGTATTTAGTCTCAATGGGGAAAACCGACCACAAAAACAGAAATATTTTTTTCTGTTGACTTTAGTACAAATGAGTGAGACATTTCTAGATCCGATAGATAGTTGACGTGAAAAGTAGGCTAGTTCACAGTGGTCGCTTACAGCGTAAGTGTGAGAAGCCTGTAAAAAGTGGCCTGATTTCCTGATCTGATGTGTACGTATTTATATATCCCAGCTCTCTGATCTTTTTAACTCTTTGTCTGTGTGTGTAATTTCATGTGTGTGTCTTCACAGAAAGCACTTCGGCTTCAGTCGGACGAACACATCTTTAAATTCATCTGGTCCAAGTTTGGCCTGGGGCCAACCAGGTAAAGAAATGCCCGACATCATTTACATAGATATTCTGTAATTACTCACACCACCATAAGAATTGTGAAACCAAACAATGGGCATGCAGCCAATCCTGAGGCTGATAGATATTATTAGTCTGTGAACTAAAACAAGAAACCATGGAAACTTGTTGGTACTTTCTCCCCTGTCCGCACAAGGAATTCACAGACACTGCAAGTATGAACCATGCGAACGACTTAAAAAAAAGAATCCCGTTTCTAACGAGGCTCATTCGGGGATTTCATTGGGTAACTTTTTTGTGTGTGTGTTTAAAGAAGCGTTGCAGAAGATTCATCCCAAACTACCTATATAATACAATTAGTCTAAAATGTACTTAAGGTAGAGCCATGATTAAAAAAAAAAGACTAAATGGATTGAGAACCAAGATTTCCCCAAAAACACCTCAGACAAACTCCAGAGAAAGAAGTGAGACACAATTAGTGAAGAAATGACCGTCATTGAGTGAGATACATGAGTACGGGGTGAGAAAAAGAGAGACAGGGCGGAAGAGTGAGTGAGTAAGTAAGCAAGTGCATTTTCGGGGGCCTCTTGAATAATTAAAGGACCATGTGTGAGCCTGTGTATGTGTGATGGCTGCTTGCTATTTGTGTTGTCTGCAACTGACAAAGGTACACACGCAAAGGCAGAGGGTGTGTGTGTGATGGATACTCCGCTGTTACCCCTGCATCTATAATTCACACACACTAACACTCCAGGCGCCTTCACACTTCCACACACTGCTCTGCTGTTATTACACCTCTGTCTGTGTATGTTGGTGTGTGTATGGTGTTCAGCACAGCAAACGCACACAAACACAGACAGTAGTTACTGTGCCCAGTATTGATTTCTCTTCTCGTTCGTACACCAGATATGTTAAGCCACTGTTAAGGTTTGCACTGTCCGTTACCATGAAACGTCACGTATGTTATTGGAATTCAAGAGTGTAAGAAAATATCAATACACGGAAATATCATGGTATTTCGTTTCTTGGAGTTGGTTCCTTTTTGTGTTGCATTTAATCCTCGGACTGCTACTGCTACTAATTGTACAGGTACTGCATGTATTTGCAAGTATTTTAGACTGCAATCTACTTTTTTCATTTGTTTCTTCAAAAAACCCTGCCGATGCTTTTATTTCTTCTCAAGTGATTACAAAAGTAGAGCCCGCTGTTAAAATTTTAGTAATTTGATGTTAACACTAGAACGGCCAAGAAGGACATTTTGACAGTTTCAAAAGTTATGTAATCAATAACTTTTTAAAATTAAAAATATAACCATGTCTCTACCTAACTTTTCCTAAATGTGTACGATTATGAGTCAGAATATCTTTTTATGTATTAGACAAAAGACAAAGAAGATTTAATAATTTCTACCTAGATAGATAGTTAGTTAGCACTTATTATTAATAAATAAATAAATAATTTAATAATTAATCTATTAATCCCTCAGGAGTTCCCTTTGGGAAATTTAGGAAATGTACCTCTTACCGCCAAAAGCGGTCATAATGACCTCACAGGATTTCGCGCACAGAATGTTGCAATTTTTCTGCCATTGATGTAGCAATTAAGTTGCTATAGCAACATTCATCTCCTTCACTTGTCTCTAGTGATCTTGAGTGTTAGAAGACTGCTGTTTTGGACCTTTATTGAGCATAATGTCACACATGATGCATCACAGAGCCGACAGCAAAGGCGAACTGTCTGCAGCAGCGCCAGCAGCCGCAGCTGACTCCAAAAGGCAGCGTCAAATTAGGAAAATTACAACCAAAAACGATACGTTCGACACCTGCTGCTAATAATAAATAAAAATAATGAAAGTAAATAACTTAAATATATCAGCGTAATTTTAAATGTGTTGTTATTGTTGTTCTCAGTGTTGAAATATTTCCTAATCAAATATGGTTATACTGTATGCGTTTTCGCTGTTCTATCGCTGATTGAATAAATGCAATGAGCCTCGCGCCGCTGTTCCAGTAGTTTTGGAATCCCGGCGGTTCTATTGTTAGGCATGTGACATCATTTTGTGTTTACTATGCTGACATTTTTTCTTACTTTTTCTTAAATTGTTACAAAAAAAAAAACAAAAACAAAATATCGCTGTCCCTATAGTATCGCAAGTATATCGTAATATATTGTCCCGCTACGACTGTATCGTGATACGTATTGTATTGCCCGATTCTTGCCAATGACCGCCCCCTATTAGAATGCTATTAGAATCAAAGAATAATTTTCTTCTTATTAGGCACAGTTTTTACGATGATGCACTTAAAGTGACTTTTTCGTTCACTTATTTTAATTCAATACAGGGAGATGTTTATGATACAGGGTAACTAAAATATCATGGTTTTCCATTCAAGCATTCAGGTGAAAATATGGTCTTGAGATGAATTGATACATTGTTAACTGCAGACTGAGCGACCAGACAGTCATCCTCCCTCTCATATAAAAGGCTACCTTCGGGAGAAAAACTCCAGGACTAGCAAAACTAAATGAAGACTTGTCCAACTTTCTTCACCTGTGAAGATCGATCTATCAAATCGCTCACCCTCCTGACATCTCCATATTTTTCTTCCTGCAGGGATTTCGATGCCAGTCTCTATCTGTGTGAAGAAGCCTTTGGTTTGTTGCCGCTGGACACACTGGAACGTTTGGCTGCTTCTTTCCTTCTCTACCCATACATCCTCACGTTGCTGCTGCTCTGTGGCACGCTGGCAGCAGGAGCTGTGAAAAACCTGAGGTAGCTGGAGATAACTGATCCATCGGTTGTCATGAAACTTTCACCACATGTTGGTGACAACCCATGCAATCCAACAAATGCAAAGAAACCAAGATAAATAATTTCAGAAATTAAAGTTAAGTGAAATAAAATTTGAATAAAACACGGAAAAAAAACATTATTTAATACTACAGTACAAAAAAGCTTTTGTTTGTAAAAACAAAGCATCAAGACGCCTCCTGTATGGAGAAACTAATCGCATGCATTGCTCATGTCTGATTTCGACCCATTCTTCGGCACAAACAATCTTCAAATCTTAAAGGTTCTATGCGCCTCTTCTATGAACTTTTTATATATTCTCTGTTGGATTGCCCCGACAGTGCTCACTGGGACATTCAGAAGTTTTAAAATCACTCTGTAACCAAAGCCGTGAGTATATTTTGCAATGATAAGGTTGCAAAATTCTGGAGAGAGCTCTTTGGTTTTACCTATTATGAGATGTTTCTTGTGTGACTATCAGGGCGGAAGCAATTTATATTAATTTGCACTGACGACTGACAGGATTGCTTTCTAATCACTGATAGATTTCAGCATCTGACATTACTACACATAATTTATGGTCATCTGTGGATTGATTTCTTCGGTTTCCTCTGGTGAAAATTTCAAGAAAATAGCACCATATATATCCCTCTGCATATATATAGGTGTGTTTGTGTACAGTATATACAAAATTATTAAAATAAGTAATATAGCAGATTAATCACAAATCATCCCAAAACATCCACCCACTCCACATACTCGTCATAGTATTGTATATTGATATTGACCATATTTTGGACATCCAACAAAATTGGTTTTGTTGTCACCGTAAGTAATCATCCTGGCTGAGCATTCGTTAGGATTAACTTCCATGGGGTTATTTTGAGTCATTTTGTCAGTTTTCATATTGAACTGTCCTCAGGCCTTTCTCCAAACCTGTTGTTGGAACCACCTGCTGACTCCACCCCTGTGGGAAAAACAGCTAGTGAAATTTGAATATCAATTCCACCCACCACCACAACCACCATCATCATCATCATCTTCACCTGCTGCTACTCCAGTGTCAGCTGTCATGTTTTATGCATCATTGTCATCTTTGTCATCTCACTGTTGCGTCTGTTCCTCAGCAGGAGAAGTTCAGGTTCAGCCGAGGAGAAGAACGAAGTTGTGGAACTGGGAGAACATTCCGTGCTGACAGTTGTTCGTCCAGATGTGGCCTACAACATGATGCACACGCTTTTCTTCGGTCTTGTGGCCTTCAGCACCATGAGGTGAGTCTGACATTATCACACAACAGCAGAAGCTATGTTCATTACCGTATGATAAACGTTATTGCTAATAATGTTGCTGGAAAGTTCGGGAAGTTCTTGAATTGCACTGGGGTGTTTCAAAGTTTGAAAAGGAGTATTGGAATATTGGGCAAATAAATGACATCAGCTTGACTGATTTTTTTTTAAAAATTTTTTATTTAATGGGTAAATTGGCTCCTCTGGGGGCATACTGAGGCGTTCCCAGGCTAGCTCAGCGACATAATCACTCCAGCGGGATTATGTTGGGATACCGAGGGAGGTGTCAGGGGTGCATACGATGCCCAAGCCACCTCAGCTGACTCCTCTCGATGTAGAGGAGCAGCGGCTCTACTCTGATCTCCTCCCAGGTGACAGAGTTCCTCACCCTATCTCTGAGGGAGCGCCCTGCCACCCTGTGGAGAAAGCTCATTTCAGCCACTTGCATCCTGGATCTTGTTCTTTCGGTCTTGACCCAAAGTTCATGACCGAAGATAAATTATCGTGTTTGGGAGACAAGCTTTTCTGAAAATAGTTGGCACAGACTTTTTACTGTCGGCACTGTCTGTCTGTTGCACCTGAACTCAGTAATTGTGCAACAGGAGCTGTTGTTGCATCATGGCAATAGCATTTTATTTTAAACAACACTCAGAGGTTGCTGTTGTGCATGACGATGACTCACTGTTGAGTTCATCGTCGAAAAAGAACAGGGACAGAGAATCACAGACAGAGTTGTCTTTGCTTCAGCTCATATTAAATACAAACCTGGTCTTAAAACCAGGCTAACACTTGCTTTCACTTCTCCTGCATTGTGCTTTATTTATAGAAACGTGTAGGGTTTCACATGTTCACATCGCATTGTCTTCTTGTCTTATAAGCAGCAGATTTACTGCTGCATTTTTCCGCACCCTTATTTTTAACTCTGTGAATGTTATTAATCAGGAATAATCTTTACGTGTTATTTCCCACGAGGAATTTAACACATGATGACTATCATGTATAATTAATCAACTACAAAGCTTTATTACAATGTTATTTCCCACGAGGAATTTAACATTAATCAATTAATCAACTACAAAGCTTTATTACATTTTATACTCAAAAGCACTTAATTATTAGCTGATAAATGAATTCCTGTCGACCAGGCGTGGGCAAACGTTTTGACTCGTGGGCCACAATTGTCCTAAAATTGAACAAGGGGGGCGGGTCAGGAGCAAATAGACGGTCAATCCATGTGAACTGAGATATATGACATGTAAAAGTCATCCATAAAGGCTAAAGTGCTAAAATGCTGTTATCATTTTGTACCCCGTCTATTGGGAAAATGTGGGTATTGCAGGAAAAAGGCAGAAGTATAATGATTATATAAATAAATTATATAATTTGGAAAAGTTTGGCAGACCGCATCCGGCTCTTGGGCCTTAGTTTGCCTATCCCTGCTGAAGAGGAATCAAACATCAAGGTCCACAATTTAAAACAGGGTTTAAATTCCTGGTCAGGGCTCAGAAAAAAAAAACAATGAAATTACTTTTCAATTTTGACATTAATTCAAATTAAAATAAACAACCAAACCCGTGCAAAGAATACAAAAGAAATATGTGAGGAAAGGGGGTTGAAGAAACATTTTCTTTTTAAGTATTGACACAAAAAAAACAAAGTAAAGTAAATAAATAATCTCAAGAATTCATAACTTAACGTACCTGTACAGGGGATAGGTTTTAAAAGCTAAGTAAATAAAAATTCATCTCACCTCAGGCCATCATTGGCATGGAGTTGACAGTCCATGTACACATCCTGACCAATCCAAAACACAGTGATGGAAAGAAGCCTTTTGCAGGTGTTCAGATTGTGAACCACAAAAGGCACAGGTCATGGGCCAAATTTTGACCACAGGCCACCATTTCACCAGCCCACTGCTTGATAGGTTATCAATTTTTTTAAGATACAAAATGTTCTACTACAGCGTTGAGCTTCAGTACACACACGTTGGCTTCCTACAGGGTTTTAGTAACTAATTTGAATTCTCACATAGTGAACAGGAGTTGAAGTTTTTCCAGGTCGTGCAGAAAACTACATATACGTCTGAATTCAGCACTTTTCTCTGAAGTGCTGATTAAGAGCGAAAAGTCCAAAAGTGCAAAAAAGCCATTTGTTTCTGTCAAACGGCGTCTTTGCATTGAAGAGAAAAAAAAAGATAGATTTATTTCCGGTAAGCTGCACTGCTCTGTATTTCCCCTCCCTCTCCTCTTTCTGCTCTGTTCTCTGTTGCTCTGTCTTCGTAGACGTCAACATTTTCTCACCTCCTTTTGTCTTTCTCTTTTTCACCCTCATTCTCTCTGTTTAATCTTTGTTTTGTTTTTTTACAGCGTTAAAACTGTAACTGACACGGTTGTGATCAAAATAAAACCTGCAGCATTACTACTGTGCTCCAGACACTAAATTAGGCCGAAGCACACCGGATCCATTATACTCGGGAACCATAAGTCTTCCTGCTAAACTAAAGACAATTTGCTTATGTCATGGTTGAATTTAATGGTCCTTAAATTGTGTTAGGGGAGGAATATAAAAAGGAAGTATTGGAATTAAAGTCTCAGTAAAGCACTAAGAGAAAATAATGTGTTTTTTACTTTATCACTGCACACCATTATTTGTACCCCTGCAGACACATTTGATGTTTTGGAAAATAAATGATATTTATCAAAAAAACAAAGGAGGGACCTTTTTCCCAACAAAAAAATAAACTTGAAAAAATGTTCTTTCGGTAAAGCTTTGTGAACTTTTTGTTTCATTTTAATGACTCTCTAATCTTATCTTAGTATATAGAAAAATTGGTGGTGGTACTTAACCATTGGTTCTTAGTTTTTTACTCACTTTAGTAAAAAAATTCCTTCCAATAAAATTATACATTCTTTGTAAAAATAAATAAAATGAAAATGTACCTTTATTAAAAAAAATGTGAGATTAATCATATACCCAATGTCTGTTGCAGGATGAAGTATATATGGACCGGTCACATGTGTGCAGTTGCGGCCTATGGTTTGTGTGGAACTGAAGTGTGGACCCTGATTCTCACCGTACTTCGATGCAACAGTAAAACTCTTGTAAGAAAATTTGACAATGACTTCAATCCTCTTTAGTTTTCTCATAAAGCAAGTGTAACATTTACACACATTTACATTACACGTACTCTAGAGCAGGGGTCTCCAACTCCTGGTCCGGGGACCGGTATCGGTCCTTGGGTCATTTGGTACTGGGTCACAGTCGGACACAAAAAAACAGCTGATACTGGCCTGCTGGTCCTTAGGATCACAGTCGGACACAAAAAAATGTACTTCAGTTTTACTAATTTACTTAATTAAAAAAGAATCGAGTCATAGCCCTTTACTTTTTTCATTCGAAAATAATCTGGCAATGTTTCAAAACAACAGGTCATTTAGACTGATACTGAACACAATAAAGTCAAAAAGGTTTATTTTTAAAATTTAATGATCTTTAACGATGGCAAAGATATTACGGGTCCGCAGTAACAGCTGATACTGGCCTGCTGGTCCTTGGTACGAAAAAGGTTGGGGACCGCTGCTGTAGAGCACACAAAATAATCTTTGTTTAAACAGGAAAGG